CTTTTAAGGATGGAATAAAGAATAACTAATGTTGTTGGAGACTTGGAGTTTATCAACATCAAGTTCTTTTGTCATGTGTAGAACTCCATATATAACTCATTTGGTGTAAATTCATCTGAAAGTATGGAACATATTTTATGTTAATTTATCTAGTGTGAACTTTATTTGTTTATCCTTTTTAATTGTCAGGTCTATGGAGAGTATGTAAGTGGATCCATAAGTGATGAACAGCGAAAGAATGTTGTCCTTAACTCCTGTCCTGGGGCAGGAGCATGTGGTGGGATGTACACAGCAAACACCATGGCTTCTGCAATTGAAGCTATGGGAATGTCTCTTCCTTACAGGTAGAGTTATGCCCTCATGGGATCATTTGGATTGGAATTCAGAAGTGCTTACTTATGTTTTCAATTTTTGTTGGTGGGTTACTTCTTCAAAGTTCTTCAATACCTGCTGAAGACCAGTTGAAGTTGGATGAATGCCGTTTAGCTGGAAAGTATCTGCTTGAGTTGCTGAAAATGGACCTAAAACCGCGGGACATTATCACTAGGAAATCTTTGCACAATGCAATGGTCATTGTAATGGCACTAGGTGGGTCTACAAATGCTGTATTGCATTTAATTGCCATAGCAAGGTGAGGATTTCTGCCAGATGTCCTGGAAACCACCAATAAAAAACATTGTCGAGTAGCTAATAGAAAGGGTTGTGGTAGGTCTGTTGGCCTGGATTTGACACTTGATGATTTCCAGAAAGTCAGTGATGAGGTCCCCTTTCTAGCAGATCTTAAGCCTAGCGGCAAATATGTTATGGAAGATGTTCATAAGGTGTGAACATTACTAAATGTCTTGCAATATGATACTTTTTCTTCTAAATAACCCCCTGTTATCTGTATGTGGTGCATGAAATTGGCATATTTCTTTCCTTCACCTTGACACACATACATAGCTTTTTCTCTAATGTCTGTTAAGGACAATTCTGTTGATAGATAGGAGGAACACCTGCAGTTATTCGTTATCTTTTGGAGCTTGGATTTCTTGATGGAGATTGTATGACTGGTACATAAATTTTGCTTGCTTTAACAAGCATTACTTGTGATTTTGTTGTGCTTATTCTCTATATTCGTAACATTAATAAGATTGTGTCCTTTCTAGTTACTGGGAAAACATTGGCTGAAAATGCAAAAAGTTTCCCTCATTTGCCTGAGAAACAGGTAAGGTGGCCTTTTTTTTTTTGTTTTCCCTTCTCTTGTTCTTTTCTCCTAAAGAATTGATTGATTGAGTTATTCATTGCTTCTAACAGTCGTTAGATTGAGATGTCACTGAGCTCAAATACAACTAACCAGTAATTCTTTCGTGATATTTTTCGCTAGGATATTATAAGGCCAGTGTCAAATCCCATCAAGAAAACAGGCCATATCCAGATTTTACGAGGAAATCTTGCACCAGAGGGTTCTGTAGCAAAAATTACTGGAAAAGAAGGGCTATATTTCTCTGGTTGTCCTTTTATCCTTTTCCCATTAGTTTCCCTTGCTTATAAACACACACACACATGCACATGCATTTCAAGTTGAATTCTAGTCTGCCCTAAGACATAAAGTAATGATTTTTGAAACAACTGTTCTTCAGGTCCTGCACTTGTCTTTGATGGAGAGGAATCTATGATTGCTGCCATAACTGAGGATCCTATGAGTTTTAAGGTATATTTAATTATGAATTATGCAATATTGTTTGTGATCTGTATAATCATTAATGGAGTAGGGAGGAGTAATGTATTATGCAATATTGTTTATGATCTGTGAATTTTGTTCATGCTTGTCAATTTTACAGGGAAAGGTGGTAGTCATTAGAGGAGAAGGACCAAAAGGGGGGCCAGGCATGCCTGAAATGTTGACACCAACAAGTGTAATAATGGGAGCAGGTCTAGGGAAGGTATGGTAATAGCTTCATTTTGCACTGAGTGGCCTATTCTAGTCCTTGATTGCCCAAGTAATGTGATTTTATGGTCTGTGCAGTGAATAAATTGTAGTCTTAAAATTTCCTTGAACTTTGCTTTTTTCGCATTTTGTATTCTTGATGATGGAAATATTATGGCCTTTGAAGATTTTTCAAGCTTTTTATCTTCATTAATTGAAAGCATTGCACTTGATGTTGCAGGATGTTGCATTGCTAACAGATGGCAGGTTTTCAGGAGGTTCACATGGATTTGTTGTTGGCCATATATGTCCTGAAGCACAGGTGCAGTAACATCTCATTCATGAATTGCAATATATTTTTGAGATTCCCAATCCCATTTGGCATTTACCCTATATCTCCAATTGTTATCTTTAGCACAGTTAAATTTTGTCTCTATAATTTTTCTTTTATTTTATTTTATTTTATTTTTTTGCTCTCTTAGCGATAAGAAAGGCACTTATGTTCAAGATAGTGGATTGGAAACTCATCTATGGGTACTAATACCACACAGTGAATTATTTCAGGAGGGTGGTCCCATTGGTTTAATCCAAAACGGAGACATCATCCGGATTGATGTTGAGAAGAGAACAATAGATGTTGAGCTAACAGAGGAGGAAATGAATGGGCGGAGAAAAAAGTGGACTCCACCTCCATACAAGGCGAACAGAGGAGTTTTGCATAAGGTATGTGAGGTTCAACATTGTGAATCATGTTTTGGTTGTAGGTAGGTACATTTCTCAAGAGTATTCTTTTCTTGATTTTCAGTACATCAAGAATGTACAGTCAGCTTCAGAAGGATGTGTAACCGATGAGTAAGGAGAGATGTGATCTCCATAGTGTATGGGAGTGAGATGTTCAAAAAAAAAAAAAAAGTGTATGGGAATGAAGGGTGATAGTTTGCTCAAATCCATATGGCATTTCATTAGGGCTTATTATAGGCATCTACAAGTTGTTCAAGGATGCTAAGGGGGCAACTGGGTTTTTGATCTTATTTCTCTTTTGTACTCCCCTTGAATTTATCTATTCAGA